TATCATCACCCCCGCACCCCCCCCCCACAACACCCCCACCACCACCCCCCCCGCCACCACCACCAGCACCCCCCCTCCTCGCCCGCCCCAAAGCACCTCATTATGGGGCTCCCCCCGGACAGGACCCCCCCGATCCCCCCCGCCTTTATCCCTTTGGGAAGCGGGATGATCCTGGGGGCCCCCCCCCCCCCCCGGCCCCCCCCCCCAGCATAAACCCATTGGGTTCCTTAAGTCTTTAGCAGCCGCTTTGGAAGGGGGGGGGACCACGACCACCACGACGACGACAATAGGGGGGCCCCCCCCCCAAAAGGCCACCCACGAGGCCCCCCCCCAAGTCGCTACCTCAGCACCCGGCTGGGTGCCCCCCCCGCCCTCCTCCAAGCCCATTCATCCCAGTGGCCCCCCCCTTCATCCCAGTGCCCCCCCCTTTCATCCCAGTGCCCCCCCACCTTCATCCCGCTCCGATTCCGAAGCCTTGGAAGAGATCAGCCGGGCCTGCGAGACCTTGGCCGAGCAAGTGGGGCGCCCCCCACCTCCCCAAAGCCCCCCCAAGCCCCCCCCGGCCCCACTGAACCCCATCCAGACACCCCCAAAACCGCCCCCAACCCCCTTGGCCCCCATCCAACCCCCCCCGAAACCCCCCCAAACCCCGCTGACCCCCATTCCGCCCCCCCAACCTTCATTCAACCCCCTCCAACCCCCCTTAAAACCCCCCCAGACCCCCTTAAACCCCATCCCAGCCCCATCCAAACCCCCCCAAACCCCCCCCCATCTTGGGGGACGCCGGTACCGAAGACCCCCCCCCCGCCACCGCGCTCCCCCCCGCCGCCGCCACCCCCGCAAGGAGCACTTGGACCGCCCCGTCCTGGCCTCCTTGGATCTCCAAACGCAACCGGATAAAGGGGGGACCCCCCCCCCCCAAAACCCATCTCCTACCGCCGCAACCCCCCCCCTTCCCCCAACACCGCCCCCCACCGCCCCCCCCCAGCCCCCCCCGTCCTACGTCAGCTCCAGCGACCTCCTCAAGCTGCGGGCGTTGGGGGGGGAGGGCCCCCCCAAGGAGCTCAAAATCCGCTTGATCAAGGTGGAAAGCGGGGGGGGGGCCCCCCAAAGCGGTGCCGTCGGAGGGGGGGGCACCGGGGTCGTCGAGGTGGAGGAGCCCCGGGGCCCCCCCCTGGGCCAGCTCACCATAAGGCACAGCGCGGCCGAGGTGGTGCGGGCCAGCAAGTGAGTGCTGCTGGGGGGGGGGGGGGGGAGAAATGGGGTTATATGGGGGGGGAATGGGGTTATGTGGGGGGGGAATGGGGTTATGTGGGGGGGCAATGGGGTTATATGGGGGGAATGGGGTTATATGGGGGAAATGGGGTTGTATGGGGGGGTAATGGGGTTATATGGAGGGGATGGGGTTATATGGGGGGTATGGGGTTATATGGGGGGAATGGGGTTATATGGGGGGGTATGGGGTTGTATGGGGGGGTATGGGGTTATATGGGGGGGAATGGGGTTGTATGGGGGGGAATGGGGTTATATGGGGAGGTAATGGGGTTATATGGGGGGGTAATGGGGTTGTATGGGGGGGAATGGGGTTATATGGGGGGGTAATGGGGTTATATGGGGGGGAATGGGGTTATATGGGGGGGGAATGGGATTATGTGGGGGGGAATGGGGTTATGTGGGGGGGCAATGGGGTTATATGGGGGGAATGGGGTTATATGGGGGAAATGGGGTTATGTGGGGAGGTAATGGGGTTATATGGGGGGGGAATGGGGTTGTATGGAGGGGAATGGGGTTATATGGGGGGGCAATGGGGTTATATGGAGGGGAATGGGGTTATATGGGGGAATGGGGTTGTATGGGGGGAATGGGGGAATGGGGTTGTATGGGGGGAATGGGGTTATATGGGGGAATGGGGTTGTATGGGGGGAATGGGGTTATATGGGGGAATGGGGTTATATGGGGGAATGGGGTTATATGGGGGGGATGGGGTTATATGGGGGGAATGGGGTTATATGGAGGGGAATGGGGTTATATGGGGGGAATGGGGTTATATGGGGAGGCAGTGGGGTTATATGGGGGGGAATGGGGTTATATGGAGGGGAATGGGGTTATATGGGGGAATGGGGTTGTATGGGGGGAATGGGGTTATATGGGGGAATGGGGTTATATGGGGGGGATGGGGTTATATGGGGGTAATAGGGTTATATGGGGGGGTAATGGGGTTATATGGGGAATGGGGTTATATGGGGGCAATGGGGTTATATGGGGGAATGGGGTTATATGGGCATTTGTGGGGATTGAAAGGGGTTTGAGGAGGTTAAAGGGGGTTTAGGAGCAATTGGAGCTGGTTTGGGGGAGTTGAGTGGGTTAAAAGGGGTTTAATGGTGCTTGGGAGGGTTAAAGGGGGTTTGAAGGGGGCTGGGGGTTAAAGGGAGTTTTAAGGGGGATTTAAAGGAGTTCAAACGGGTTTAAGGGGGATTTAATGGGGTTAAAGGGGTTTTGGGTTGGTTAAAGGGGGGTTGAAGGGGCTTAAGGGAGGTTTAAAGGGGTTAAAAGGGGTTTTTAATGGGGTTAAAGGTGGTTTGAGTGGGTTAAAGGTGGTGTGATGGGGGTTTAAGGGGGGATTTAAAGGGGTTAAAAGGGGGATTTAATGTGATTAAAGGGGTTTTGGGTGGGTTAAAGGGGGTTTGATGGGGGTTAAGGGGGGGTGAAAGGGCTTTAATGGGGATTTAATGGGGTTAAAGGGGGTTTGAAGGGGGTTAAGGGGGGGTTAAAGGGATTAAAAGGGCTTTTAAGGGGGTTTAATGGGGTTGAAAGGGGTTTAAGGTGGATTTAATGGGGTTAGAGTGGTTTTGGGTGGGTTAAAGGGGGTTTGAAGGGGGTTAAGGGGGGTTTAAAGGGATTAAAAGGACTTTTAAGGGGTTTTAATGGGGTTAAAGGGGTTTAAGGTGGATTTATTTGGGTTAGAGGGGTTTAGGGTGGGTTAAACGGGGTTTAAAGGGATTAAAAGGGCTTTTAAGTGGGTTTAATGGGGTTCAAAGGAGTTTAAGGTGGATTTAATGATGTTAGAGGGGTTTTGGGTGGGTTAAAGGGGATTTGGAGGGGGTTAAGGGGGGGTTAAAGGGATTAAAAGGACTTTTAAGGGGGTTTAATGGGGTTGACAGGGCTTTCAGGTGTATTTAATGGGGTTAGAGATGTTTTGGGTGGGTTAAAGGGGGTTTGAAGGGTGTTAAGGGGGTTTACAGGGATTAAAAGTGCTTTTAAGGGGGTTTAATGGGGTTGAAAGGGTTTTAAGGTGGATTTAATGGGGTTGGGGGGGTTAAAGGGGGTTTGAAGGGGGTTAAGGGGGGTTTAAGGGGGTTAAAGGGGCTTTTAAGGGGGTTTAATGGGGTTGACAGGGCTTTAAGATGGATTTAATGGGGTTAGAGGGGTTTTGGGTGGGTTAAAGGGGGTTTGAAGGGGGTTAAGGGGGGTTTAAAGAGATTAAAAGGGCTTTTAAGGGGGTTTAATTGGGTTTAAGGTGGATTTAATGGGGTTAAAGTGGTTTTGTGTGGGTTAAAGGGGGTTTGAAGGGGGGTTAAGGGGGGTTTAAGGCTATTAAAGGGGCTTTTAAGGGGGTTTAATGGGGTTGACAGGGCTTTCAGGTGGATTTAATGGGGTTAGAGGGGGTTTGGGTGAGTTAAAGGGGGTTTGAAGGGGGTTAAGGGGGGTAAGGGGATTAAAAGGACTTTTAAGGGGGTTTAATGGGGTTGACAGGGCTTTCAGGTGGATTTAATGGGGTTAGAGGGGTTTAGGGTGGGTTAAGGGGGCTCTAGGGTGGATCCCTGCCCCATCGGTGCCGTGTCCCGCAGGCAGGCGCGCCTCAAGGGCCCCTTCCGTGAGTCCTACCTGTCCCCGGCGCAGTCGGTGAAGCCCCAGATCGATTCCCAGGAGAAGCTGCCCCGGGACAAGCTCAACCCCCCCACCCCCAGCATCTACGTGAGTCCTCATTGGCTGCCGCCAGACCCCCTCGATGCTCATTGGCTACTGCCAGGACCCCCTCCGTGCTCATTGGCTGCTGCCAGGGCCCCCTCGATGCTCACTGACTGCTGCCAGACCCTCCTCCATGCTCATTGGCTGCTGCCAGGGCACCCTCCATGCTCATTGGCTGCCACCAGGGCCCCCTTGATCCTCATTGGCTGCTGCCAGACCCTCCTCCATGCTCTTTGGATGCTGCCAGGGCCCCCTCCATGCTCAGTGGCTGCCGCCACGACCCCCTCCATGCTCATTGGCTGCCGCCAGGGCCCCCTTGATGCTCATTGACTGCCGCCACGACCCCCTTGATGCTCATTGGCTGCCACCACGACCCCCTCCATGCTCATTGGCTACTGCCAGACCCTCCTCCATGCTCATTGGTGCTACCAGGACCCCCTCCGTGCTCATTGGCTGCTGCCAGGACCCCCTCCATGCTCATTGGCTACTGCCAGACCCTCCTCCATGCTCATTGGTGCCACCACGACCCCCTCCATGCTCATTGGCTACTGCCAGACCCTCCTCCATGCTCATTGGTGCCACCAGTACCCCCTCCGTGCTCATTGGCTGCTGCCAGGGCCCCCTCGATGCTCATTGGCTGCTGCCACGACCCCCTTAGTGCTCATTGGCTGCTGCCAGGACCCCCTCCATGCTCATTGGCTGCTGCCAGGACCTCCTCCATGCTCATTGGCTGCCACCAGACCCTCCTCTGTGCTCTTTGGCTGCCGCCACAACCCCCTCGATGCTCATTGGCTGCTGCCGTGACCCCCTCGATGATCATTGGCTGCTGCCAGGACCCCCTCCATGCTCATTGGCTGCTGCCAGACCCCTCCTCCATGCATATTGTCTGGTTCCAGGAACCCTTCAATGCTCATTGGCTGCTGCTAGAACCCCCTTCATGCTCATTGGCTGCTGCCATTACCCCCTCCGTGCTCATTGGCTGCCGCCAGACCCTCCTCCATGCTCATTGGCTGCTACCAGGACCCCCTCAATGCTCATTGGGCCACTGGCGAGACTCGCCCCCTTTGCTCATTGGCCCACCTTGATGCTTATTGGGCCGTTCACAGCCCGCCTCACTGCTCATTGGGCCACTGGCAGCACCCCTTGCAGCTCATTGGTTCACTGGCAGGACCCCCTCGCTGCTCATTGGTTCACTGGTGGGACCCCTTTGCTGCTTATTGGCCCACTGACAGCACAGCTTGCTGCTCATTGGTGCGCTGACAGCCCCCCGCTCACTGCTCATTGGGCCACTGGCAGAGTTCTCAGGGCATCCCTGCTTCTCATTGGCTGGTGAGAGGGGATGTGGGGCATCCCCTGCAGGTCCTTCCACCTGATTGGCCCACTGGCAGGACCCCCTCCCTGCTGATTGGTCTGCTGTAGGGGGTCCTGGAGCATCCACTGTGCTGATTGGCCCGTAGACAGGGGTCCCATGGTGTCCACCCTGCTGATTGGTCCACTAGCAAGGGTCCCTGGATGTACTGCCAGCTGATTGGCTGAGCAGCAAAGGTCATGGAGCATCCCCCCCTGCTGATTGGCTGGCAGGAGGGGAGATGCCCAGGGCATCCCCTTGGTGATTGGCCTGAGGGTATCCCTGCTGCTGATTGGCTGGCAAGCTGGGGAATCCCCGCACTGATTGGCTATGGGAGGGGGAATGTTCCCTGCTGCTGATTGGCCCATGGGTGAGGTATTCCCCAGGGGATCCTCATGCTGATTGGCTGAGGGGGGGGGGGTGTGGAATTCCTTAGGACATCTCCATCCTGATTGGCTGGGGGGGGGGGGGGGGGGGTGGGGTGTGTCAGGGCATCCCTGTCCTGATTGGCCCATAGGTAGGGAGTCCCTGTCCTCATTGGCTGCTGGACCAGGGCATCCCTGTCCTGATTGGCTGTCAGCTCAGGGCATCCCATTGCTGATTGGCTGGCAGGTTGGGACTATTCCCTTTGTGCTGATTGGTCCACACAGGAGTGCTGCTGCTGATTGGCCAGCAGGGGGCTTGGAGGGGAGGGGGTTGCCGGTCTCCCATTGGCTGGGGAGGGGGGGAGGACCTCTGATTGGTACGTGGGTGGGTGTGCTGGTCTGTGATTGGTCCGTGGTTGGGGTGCCGGGCTCTGATTGGCTGTTCCCCCCCCCTCAGCTGGAGAGCAAACGCGACGCCTTCTCCCCTGTCCTGCTGCAGTTCTGCACCGACCCCAAGAACCCCATCACCGTCATCAGGGGCCTGGCGGGGTCCCTGCGCCTCAGTGAGTGCCCAAAACACCCCAAAGTGCACCAAAATACCCCAAAATCACCCCAAAATGCACCAGAATATCCCAAAACACCCCAAAATGCACCAGAATACCCCAAAATCACCCCAAATCACCCCAAAATGCACCAAAATCACCCCAAAACACCCCAAAATGCAACAAAATACCCAAAAATCACCCCAAAATGCACCAAAATACCACAAAATCACCCCAAAATGCACCAAAATACCACAAAATCACCCCAAAATGCCCCAAAATCGCCCCAAAATGCACCAGAATACCCCAAAATCACCCCAAAACACCCCAAAATTCACCAAAATAGCCCAAAATCACCCCAGAACACCCCAAAATGGACCAGAATACCCCAAAATCACCCCAAAATGCACCAAAATGAACCCCAAACACCCCAAACCACCTCAAAATTACCTCCAAATCACCCAAAATACACCAAAATCACCCCAAACCACCTCAAAATTACCCAAACCCACCTAAAAATTACCCTCAAATCACACAAAACACATCAAAATCACCCCAAAACACCCCAAAATGCACCAGAATATCCCAAAATCACCCCAAATCACCCAAAACACCTCGAACTCACCCCAAAACACCCAAAACCACCTCAAAATTACCCTCAAATCACCCAAAACTACCTCAAAATTACCCTCAAATCACCCAAAACCACCTCAAAATTACCCTCAAATCACCCAAAACACACGAGAATCACCCCAAAACCCCATCACTGTCATCAGGGGCCTGGTGGGGTCCCTGTGCCTGAGTGAGTGCCCAAAACACCCCAAAATGCACCAAAATACCCCAAAATCACCCCAAACACCTCAAAATCACACCAAAACACCCCAAGAAACCCCCAGAATCACCCCAGAAATGCACCGAAACACCTCAAAATCCCCTAAAAACACCCCAGGACACCCCAAAATACCCCAAAACACCTCAAAATCACCCAAAACACCCTAAGACACCCCAAAAACCACCCCCAAAATGCACCAAAACACCTTAAAATCGCCCCAAACACCCCAGGGCACCCTGAAATACCCCAGAACACCCCAAAACATCTCAAAATCACCCCAAAACACCCCAAAATCACCCCAGAAATACCCCCCACCACCCCAGGACACCCCAGGCAGCTCAAAACCACACTAAAACCACCCCAGAAATCCTCCAAATTACCTCAAAACGCCCTAAATCATCCCCAAAACACCCCAAAACACTACAATGTACCCTAAAATGCCCCCAAACACCCCCAGAACAACCCAAAATTACCCTAAAATCACCCCAAAACACCTCAAAATCACCTCAAACATCCCAGGGCACCCCAAAATACCCAAAACCACCCAAAAAACATCCCAAAACCACCCTAAAGCGCTACAAAATACCCCCAAACACCCCCAAATAACCCCAAAACAACCCAAAATTACCCTAAAATCACCCCAAAACACCTCAAAATCACCCCAAACATCCCAGGGCACCCCAAAATACCCAAAACCACCCAAAAAACATCCCAAAACCACCCCAAAGCGCTACAAAATACCCCCAAACACCCCCAAATAACCCCAAAACACACTAAAATTACCCTAAAATCACCCCCAAACCACCCCAGAACACCTCAAACCACCCCAAACCACCCCAAAATCACCCCAAAATCACCCCTGGGGACCTCAAAACCCACCTCTGGGGACTCAAAAGCACCCCCAGAGGGTCCCCCCAGCACCCATGGGTGCCCCGCTGACCCCTTTATCCCCCCTCCATGTCCCCCCCAGACCTGGGGCTGTTCAGCACCGAGACCCTGGTGCAGGTCCCATCCCCATCACCCATCACCCATCCCCATCCTCAACCCCCAGCACCCATGGGTGCCCCGCTGACCCCTTTATCCCCCCCCATGACCCCCTCCAGACCTGGGGCTGTTCAGCACCAAGACCCTGGTGCAGGTCCCATCCCCATCACCCATCACCCACCTCCATCACCCATAACCCATCCCCCAGCACCCATGGGTGCCCCGCTGACCCCTTTATCCCCCCCCCAGACCTGGGGCTGTTCAGCACCAAGACCCTGGTGCAGGTCCCATCCCCATCACCCATCACCCATCCCCATCACCCATCACCCATCCCCATCACCCATAACCCACCCCCAGCACCCATGGGTGCCCCGCTGACCCCTTTATCCCCATGTTCCCCCCAGACCTGGGGCTGTTCAGCACCAAGACCCTGGTGCAGGTCCCATCCCCATCACCCATCACCCATCCCCATCACCCACCACCCACCTCCATCACTCCTCCCCATCCCCATCACCCATAACCCACCCCCAGCACCCATGGGTGCCCCGCTGACCCCTTTATCCCCATGTCCCCCCCAGACCTGGGGCTGTTCAGCACCAAGACCCTGGTGCAGGTCCCATCCCCATCACCCATCACCCACCTCCATCACCCATAACCCATCCCCCAGCACCCATGGGTGCCCCGCTGACCCCTTTATCCCCATGTTCCCCCCAGACCTGGGGCTGTTCAGCACCAAGACCCTGGTGCAGGTCCCATCCCCATCACCCATCACCCACCTCCATCACTCCTCCCCATCCCCATCACCCATAACCCATCCCCCAGCACCCATGGGTGCCCCGCTGACCCCTTTATCCCCCCCCCCAGACCTGGGGCTGTTCAGCACCAAGACCCTGGTGCAGGTCCCATCCCCATCACCCACCACCCATCTCCATCACCCATCCCCCATCTCCATCACCCATCACCCATCCCCATCACCCATGGGTGCGCCGCTGACCCCTTTATCCCCATGTTCCCCCCAGACCTGGGGCTGTTCAGCACCAAGACCCTGGTGCAGGTCCCATCCCCATCACCCACCACCCATCCCCATCACCCATCACCCATCCCCATCACCCATCACCCACCTCCATCACTCCTCCCCATCCCCATCACCCATAACCCACCCCCAGCACCCATGGGTGCCCCGCTGACCCCTTTATCCCCATGTCCCCCCCAGACCTGGGGCTGTTCAGCACCAAGACCCTGGTGCAGGTCCCATCCCCATCACCCACCACCCATCTCCATCACCCATCACCCATCCCCATCACCCATAACCCACCCCCAGCACCCATGGGTGCCCCACTGACCCCTTTATCCCCCCCCATGTGTCCCCCCCAGACCTGGGGCTGTTCAGCACCAATACCCTGGTGCAGGTCCCATCCCCATCACCCACCCCCATCCCCCAGCACCCATAACCCACTCCCAGCACCCATGGGTGCCCCGCTGACCCCTTTATCCCCATGTCCCCCCCAGACCTGGGGCTGTTCAGCACCAAGACCCTGGTGCAGGTCCCATCCCCATCACCCACCACCCATCTCCATCACCCATCACCCATCCCCATCACCCATAACCCATCCCCATCACCCACCACCCATCTCCATCACCCATCACCCACCTCCATCACCCATAACCCATCCCCCAGCACCCATGGGTGCCCCGCTGACCCCTTTATCCCCATGTCCCCCCCAGACCTGGGGCTGTTCAGCACCAAGACCCTGGTGCAGGTCCCATCCCCATCACCCACCACCCATCTCCATCACCCATCACCCACCTCCATCACTCCTCCCCATCCCCATCACCCATAAGCCACCCCCAGCACCCATGGGTGCCCCGCTGACCCCTTTATCCCCCCCCCAGACCTGGGGCTGTTCAGCACCAAGACCCTGGTGCAGGCCAGCGGGGAGCACGCCGTTGAGGTGCGCACCCAGGTCCAGCAGCCCTCGGACCAGAACTGGGACCTCTCGGGCACCCGGCAGGTGTGGCCCTGCGCCAGCAGCCGCTCCCACACCACCATCGCCAAGTACGCCCAGTACCAGGCCTCGTCCTTCCAGGAGGCTCTGCAGGTAAGGGGGGGGACGTGGGGGGCTAAGGGGGGATGGGGGGCTATGGGGGGGATGGGGAGAATGGGGGTGATGGGGTGATGGGGGTAAGGGGGGTGATGGGGGTAATGAAGGGAATGGGGTGATGGGATGAGGGTGATGGGGGTGATGGGGGTAATGGGGGTTAGGGGGTAATGGGGGAATGGGGGTGATGGGGGTAATGGGGGTGATGGGGGTGATGGGGGTAATGAGGGTGATGGGAGTAATGGGGGTGATGGGGGTAATGAGGGTGATGGGAGTAATGGGGGTGATGGGGGTAATGGGGATGGGGGACATGGGGGTGATGGGGGTAAGGGGGGTGATGGGGGTGATGAAGGGAATGGGGTGATGGGATGGGGGAGATGGGGGTGATGGGGGGATGGGGTGATGGGGGTGATGGGGGTAAGGGGGGTGATGGAATGGGGGTGATGGTGATGGGGGTAATGGGGGTGAGGGGGTAATGGGGGAATGGGGGTGATGGGGGTAATGGGGGTGATGGTTTAATGGGGGTGATGGGGGTAATGAGGGTGATGGGAGTAATGGGGGTAATGGGGATGGGGGACATGGGGGTGATGGGGGAAATGGGGGTAAGGGGGGTGATGGGGGTGATGGGGGACATGGGGGTAATGGGGGTGAGGGGGGTAATGGGGGTGATAGAAGCAATGAGGGACATGGGGGTGATGGGGGGACATGGGGGTGATGAGGGAATGGGGGTGAGGGCAGTAATGGGGGTGATGGGGGTAACAGGGGGGATGGGGGACATGGGGGTGATGGGGGGAATGCAGCCTATGGGGGTAATGGGGGTGATGGGGGGACATGGGGGTAATGAGGGTGATGGGGGTAATGGGGGTGATGGGGGGAATGGCAGCAATGGAGGACATGGGGGAATGGGGGGCTATGGAGGGAATGGGGACAATGGGGGTAATGGGGACAGTGGGAGTTATGGGGTAATGGGGGCTATGGGGGTGATGGGAGTATGGGGGCAATGGGGGCTATGAGGGGAATGGGGCAATGTGGGTAAGGAGGGCTATGGGGGGAATGGGGACTATGGATGGAATGGGGGGAATGCGGGTAATGGGGCAATGGGGGTGAGGGGGAAATGGGAACAATGGGGGTGATGGGGACAATGGGGGCGATGGGGGCGATGGGGGCGATGGGGACAATGGGGACAATGGGGGCTATGGGGACAATGGGGCAATGGGGGCAATGGGGGCGATGGGGACAATGGGGCAATGGGGGCAATGGGGCCATGGTGACGTCCCCACAGGAGGACAAGGACAGTGAGGATGAGGAGGCCGAGGAACCTGACAGCACCACAGAGACCCCCCCCAGGTAGGGCCAGCCCCTCTATGGGGGGGTGACACCCTGGGGACCCCATGGCACCCATGGGTGACACCCTGGTGACCCCATGGCACCCATGGGTGTCCCCATGTGTCCTCCCCCCCCCAACCCCCCCAGCAACCCCGACCAGAAATCCCACCAGATCATCAAGTTTGGGACCAACATCGACCTCTCGGATGCCAAGAGGTGAGGGGGGGGCACCCATGGGTGATGGGGAGCCTATGGGTGATGGGGGCACCTGTGGATGATGAGGGAACCTATGGGTGATGGGGGACCTATGGGTGATGGGGGCACCTGTGGGTGATGGGGGAACCTATGGGTGATGGGGGACCTATGGGTGATGGGGGACCTATGGGTGATGGGGGCACCTATGGGTGATGGGGGCACCTGTGGGTGATGGGGGCTCCTATGGGTGATGGGGGACCTATGGGTGATGGGGGCACCTATGGGTGATGGGGGACCTGTGGGTGATGGGGGCACCTATGGGTGATGGGGACACCTATGGGTGATGGGGACACCTATGGGTGATGGGGGACCTATGGGTGATGGGGGCACCTATGGGTGATGGGGGACCTATGGGTGATGGGGGCACCTATGGGTGATGGGGTTCACCTATGGGTGATGGGGGAACCTATGGGTGTTGGGCTCACCTATGGGTGTTGGGGCTCACCTATGGGTGATGGGGGAACCTATGGGTGTTGGGGCTCACCTATGGGTGATGGGGGAACCTATGGGTGTTGGGGCTCACCTATGGGTGTTGGGGCTCACCTATGGGTGATGGGGGAACCTATGGGTGTTGGGGCTCACCTATGGGTGTTGGGGCTCACCTATGGGTGATGGGGCTCACCCATGGGTGATGGGGGACCTATGGGTGATGGGGGATCTATGAGTGATGGGGGCACCTATGGGTGATGGGGCTCATCTATGGGTGATGGGGGAACCTATGGGTGATGGGGGAACCTATGGGTGATGGGGGAACCTAGGGGTGATGGGGGACCTATGGGTGTTGAGGTTCACCTATGGGTGTTGGGGCTCACCTATGGGTGATGGGGGAACCTATGGGTGATGGGGCTCACCAGTGGGTGATGGGGCTCACCTATGGGTGACATGTCCAACGGGTGACACTCCCCATGGATGCCACCTTCCATGGGTGACATCTCCAATGGGTGACACATCCCATGGATAATGTGGTCCATGGACAACACACCAATGGGTGCCATCTCCATTGGGTGCCATGTCCCATGGGTGCCACCTCCAATGGGTTCTACCTCCTTTGGGTGCCATGTCCCATGGGCTCCACCTCCATTGGGTGCTGTGTCCCATGGGAGCCACCACCATTGGGTGCTGTGTCCCATGGTTGCTGTGTCCCATGGGTGCCACCTCCATTGGGTGCCACCTCCATTGGGTGCTGTGTCCCATGGTTGCAACCTCCATTGGGTTCCATGTCCCATGGGAGTCACCTCTATTGTGTCCTGTGCCCCATGGGTGCCACCTCTATTGTGTGCCATGTCCCATGGGTGCCGCGTCCCATGGGTGCCATGCACCATGGGTGTCACCTCCATTGGATGCCATGTCCCATGGGTGCCACCTCCATTGGGTGCCGTGCCCCATGGGTGCCATGCCCCACGGGTGCCACCTCCATTGTGTGCCATGCCCCATGGGTGCCACCTCCATTGGGTGCCGTGCCCCATGGGTGCCACCTCCATTGTGTGCCATGCCCCATGGGTGCCATCTCCATTGTGTGCCGTGTCCCATGGGTGCCACCTCCATTGGATGCCGTGTCCCATGGGTGCCACCTCCATTGGATGCCATGTCCCATGGGTGCCGCCTCCATTGGGTGCTGTGCCCCATGGGTGCCATCTCCATTGGATGCTATGTCCCATGGGTGCCACCTCCATTGGGTGCCGTGCCCCATGGGTGCTGTGCCCCATGGGTGCCACCTCCATTGTGTGCTATGCACCATGGGTGCCACTTCCATTGGCTGCCGTGCCCCATGGGTGCCACCTCCATTGGGTGCTATGCACCATGGATGCCACCTCCATTGGATGCCATGCACCATGGGTGCCACCTCCATTGGGTGCCACCTCCATTGGGTGCCGTGTTCTATGCGTGCCACCTCTATTGGGTGCTGTGTCCCATGGGTGCCACCTCCATTGTGTGCCGTGTCCCATGGGTGCTGTGCCCTATGGCTGCCACCTCCATTGGATGCCGTGCCCCATGGGTGCCATCTCCATTGGGTGCCACCTCCATTGGGTGCCGTGTTCCATGCATGCCACCTCCATTGGGTGCTGTGTCCCATGGGTGCAACCTCCATTGTGTGCCGTGTCCCATGGGTGCCACCTCCATTGGGTGCCATGTCCCATGGGTGCTGTGCCCTATGGCTGCCACCTCCATTGGATGCCATGCCCCATTGGGTGCCACCTCCATTGGGTGCTATGTCCCATGGGTGCCACCTCCATTGGGTGCCGTGTCCATTGTGTGCTGTGCCCCATGGGTGCCACCTCCATTGTGTGCCGTGTCCCATGGGTGCCACCTCCATTGGGTGCCACCTCCATTGGGTGCCATGTCCCATGGGTGCCACCTCTATTGGATGCCATGTCCATTGTGTGCCGTGTCCCATGGGTGCCACCTCCATTGGGTGCCATGTCCCATGGGTGCCACCTCCATTGGGTGCCACCTCCATTGGGTGCCATGTCCCTTGTGTGCCGTGCCCCATGGGTGCCACCTCCATTGTGTGCCGTGTCCCATGGGTGCCACCTCCATTGGGTGCCACCTCCATTGGGTGCCATGTCCCATGGGTGCCACCTCCATTGGATGCCGTGTCCATTGTGTGCCGTGCCCCATGGGTGCCACCTCCATTGGGTGCCGTGTCCCATGGGTGCCACCTCCATTGTGTGCCGTGTCCCATGGGTGCCACCTCCATTGGGTGCCACCTCCATTGGGTGCCATGTCCCATGGGTGCCACCTCTATTGGATGCCATGTCCATTGTGTGCCGTGTCCCATGGGTGCCACCTCCATTGGATGCCATGTCCATTGTGTGCCGTGCCCCATGGGTGCCACCTCCATTGGATGCCATGTCCCATGAGTGCCACCTCCATTGGATGCCGTGTCCATTGTGTGCTGTGTCCCATGGGTGCCACCTCCATTGGGTGCCGTGTCCCATGGGTGCCACCTCCATTGGGTGCCACCTCCATTGGGTGCCATGTCCCATGGGTGCCACCTCCATTGTGTGCCATGTCCCATGGGTGCCACCTCCATTGGATGCCATGTCCATTGTGTGCCGTGCCCCATGGGTGCCACCTCCATTGGATGCCATGTCCCATGAGTGCCACCTCCATTGGATGCCGTGTCCATTGTGTGCTGTGTCCCATGAGTGCCACCTCCATTGTGTGCCGTGTCCCATGGGTGCCACCTCCATTGGGTGCCACCTCTATTGTGTGCCATGTCCCATGGGTGCCACCTCCATTGTGTGCCGTGCCCCATGGGTGCCACCTCCATTGGGTGCCGTGCCCCATGGATGCCGTGCCCCACGGGTGCCACCCTATCCGTCCCCCCCGCAGGTGGAAGCCGCAGCTGCAGGAGCTGCTCAAGCTCCCGGCCTTCATGCGCGTGTCGTCCACGGGGAACATGCTGAGCCATGTGGGGCACACCATCCTGGGCATGAACACCGTGCAGCTCTACATGAAGGTGCCGGGCAGCCGCACCCCCGGTGAGTGCGCCGACGGCACCGCGACGGCACCCAGCCGGTGGGGCGGCGGGAGGGTGACGGTGGGCTGAGCACCCGCAGTGGGGTGGCTGGCGTGGGGGGGGGGGTGTGCACAGTGTGGGGGGGGGAGACACATGACACGTCGATGGGGTGACTTCGGTGGGGTGTATGTAGACCCTGTGGGGTGATGTCGATGGGGTGACATCGATGGGGTGTATATAGTGTGGGGTGACATCGATGGGGTGTATGTAGACCCTGTGGGGTGATGTCGATGGGGTGACATCGATGGGGTGTATATAGTATGGGGTGACATCGATGGGGTGACATCGGTGGGGTGTATGTAGACCCTGTGGGGTGATGTCGATGGGGTGACATCGATGGGGTGACATCGATGGGGTGTATGTAGACCCTGTGGGGTGATGTCGATGGGGTGACATCGATGGGGTGTATATAGTGTGGGGTGACATCGATGGGGTGACATCGATGGGGTGTATGTAGACCCTGTGGGGTGACGTCGATCGGGTGACATCGATGGCGTGACATCAATGGGGTGTGTATAGACAGTGGGGGGTGACATCGATGGGGTGACATCGATGGCGTGTATGTAGACCCTGTGGGGTGATGTCGATGGGGTGTATATAGACAGTGTGGGGTGACATCGATGGGTTGACATCGATGGGGTGTATATAGACAGTGTTGGGTGATGTCGATGAGGTGACATCAATGGGGTGTATATAGACAGTGTGGGGGGACATCAATGGGGTGTACATAGTGTGGGGGGACGTTGATGTGGTGGCATCGATGGGGTGTATTTAGACAGTGTGGAGTGACGTCGATGGGGTGTATATAGACACTGTGGGGTGACGTTGATGGGGTGACATCTATGGGGTGTATATAGACAGTGTGGGGTGACATCAATGTGGTGTATATAGACACTGTGGGGTGATGTCAATGGGGTGACGTCGATGGCATGACATCGATGGGGTGTATATAGACAGTGTGGGGTGACATCAATGGGGTGACATTGATGGGGTGTATATAGACCCTGTGGGGTGACGTCGATGGGGTGATGTCGATGGGGTGACATCGATGGGGTGACATCAATGGGGTGTATATAGACAGTGGGGGGTGACATCGATGGGGTGACATCGATGGGGTGTATATAGACACTGTGGGGTGATGTTGATGGGGTGATGTTGATGGTGTGATATTGATGGGGTGATTATAGACCCTGTGGGGTGACATTTATGGGGTGACATCGATGGGGTGTATATAGACAGTGTAGGATGACATTGATTGGGGTGTATGCAGACACTGTTGGGTGTATACAGACACTGTGGGATGTATACAGACACTGTGGGGTGACGTTGATGGGGTGACATCGATGGGGTGTATATAGACAGTATGGGGTGACATCGATGGGGTGACATCGATGGGGTGTATATAGACCCTGTGGGTCTCTATGGGTCTCTGTGGGTCCCTATGGGTCTCTATGTGTCCCTATGTGTCTCTATGGGTCCCTTTGGGTCCCTATGTATCTCTGTGTGTCTCTATGTGTCTCTATGGGTCTCTATGGTCTCTATGGGTCCCTATGGTCCCTATGTGTCCCTATGTGTCCCTATGGTCCCTATGTGTCCCTATGTGTCCCTATGGTCCCTATGTATCCCTATGTGTCCCTATGTGTCCCTATGGTCCCTATGGGTCTCTCTGGGTCTCTCTGGGTCCCTATGTGTCCCTATGTGTCCCTATGGGTCCCTATGGTCTCTATGGGTCCCTATGTGTCCCTATGTGTCCCAATAGGTCTCTATGGGTCTCTCTGGGTCCCTATGTGTCCCTATGTGTCCCTATGGGTCCCTATGGTCTCTATGGGTCCCTATGGTCCCTATGTGTCCCTATGTGTCTCTATGTGTCCCTATGGTCCCTATTGGTCTCTGTGGGTCTCTCTGGGTCCCTATGTGTCCCTATGGTCTCTGGGTCCCTATGGGTCCCTATGTGTCGCTATGGGTCCCTATGGGTCCCTATGTGTCGCTATGTGTCCCTATGTGTCGCTATGGGTCCCTATGTGTCGCTATGGGTCCCTATGGGTCCCTATGTGTCGCTATGTGTCCCTATGTGTCGCTATGGGTCCCTATGTGTCGCTATGGGTCCCTATGGGTCCCTATGTGTCGCTATGGGTCCCTATGTGTCGCTATGGGTCCCTATGGGTCCCTATGTGTCGCTATGGGTCCCTATGTGTCGCTGTGGGTCCCTATGTGTCGCTATGTGTCCCTATGTGTCGCTATGGGTCCCTATGTGTCGCTATGGGTCCCTATGTGTCGCTATGGTCCCTATGTGTCGCTATGGGTCCCTATGTGTCGCTATGGGTCCCTATGTGTCGCTGTGGGTCCCTATGTGTCGATATGTGTCCCTATGTGTCGCTATGGGTCCCTATGTGTCCCTATGGTCCCTATGTGTCGCTATGTGTCCCTATGTGTCGCTATGGGTCCCTATGTGTTGCTATGTGTCCCTATGTGTCGCTATGGGTCCCTATGTGTCGCTATGGTCCCTATGTGTCGCTATGGGTCCCTATGTGTCGCTATGGGTCCCTATGTGTCGCTATGGGTCCCTATGTGTCGCTGTGGGTCCCTATGTGTCCCTATGGTCCCTATGTGTCGCTATGGGTCCCTATGTGTCGATATGTGTCCCTATGTGTCGCTATGGGTCCCTATGTGTCGCTATGGTCCCTATGTGTCGCTATGGGTCCCTATGTGTCGCTATGGGTCCCTATGTGTCGCTATGGGTCCCTATGTGTCGCTATGGGTCCCTATGTGTCGATATGTGTCCCTATGTGTTGCTATGTGTCTCTATGTGTCGCTATGGGTCCCTATGTGTCGCTGTGGGTCCCTATGTGTCCCTATGGTCCCTATGTGTCGCTATGTGTCCCTATGTGTCGCTATGGGTCCCTATGTGTTGCTATGTGTCCCTATGTGTCGCTATGTGTCGCTATGGGTCCCTATGTGTCGCTATGGGTCCCTATGTGTTGCTATGTGTCTCTATGTGTCGCTATGGGTCCCTATGTGTCGCTATGGGTCCCTATGTGTCGCTATGGGTCCCTATGTGTCGCTATGGGTCCCTATGTGTCGCTATGGGTCCCTATGTGTCCCTATGGTCCCTATGTGTCGCTATGGGTCCCTATGTGTCGCTATGGGTCCCTATGTGTCGCTATGTGTCCCTATGTTTCCCTATGGTCCCTATGTGTCCCTATGTGTCGCTATGGGTCCCTATGTGTCGCTATGGGTCCCTATGGGTCCCTATGTGTCGCTGTGGGTCCCTATGTGTCGCTATGGGTCCCTATGTGTCGCTATGGGGTGCCATGAGGGCGCTGTCCCCGCAGGCCACCAGGAGAACAACAACTTCTGCTCGGTGAACATCAACATCGGGCCCGGAGACTGCGAGTGGTTCGCGGTGCACGAGCACTACTGGGAGACCATCAGCGGCTTCTGCGACAGGCGAGGGGCGGGGACAAAGGGGAGGGGCGGGGCCATGGGGGGCAATGGGGAGGGGTGGGCGAAGGGGCGGAGCCATAGGGCACAATGGTGAGGGGTGGGAAAGGGGCGGGGCTAAAGGGAAGGGGTGGAGCCATAGGGCACAATGGGGAGGGGTGGAGAAGGGGCGGAGCCATAGGGCACAATGGTGAGGGATGGGAAAGGGGCGGGGTTAAAGGGAAGGGGCGGAGCCATAGGGCACAATGGTGAGGGAGGGGGAATGGGCGGGGCTAAAGGGAAGGGGTGGAGCCATAGGGCACAATGGGGAGGGGTGGAGAAGGGGCGGAGCCATAGGGCACAATGGTGAGGGATGGGAAAGGGGCGGGGTTAAAGGGAAGGGGCGGAGCCATAGGTCACAATGGTGAGGGAGGGGGAATGGGCGGGGCTAAAGGGAAGGGGTGGAGCCATAGGGCACAATGGTGAGGGATGGGGAAAGGGGCGGAGCTTAGGGGGAAAGGGCAGAGCGTAGGGGAAGGGGCGGGGTTAAAGGGAAGGGGCGGGGCTTAGGGGAAGGCGTGGAGCCATAGGGCACAATGGTGAGGGATGGGGAAAGGGGCGGAGCTTAGGACAAATGGGCGGGGTCTATGAAAAAGGGGAAAGGATGGGGTCACATGACATAAAGGGCTATTAGAAAAGGGCAGGGCTAAAAAGGGGTGGAGCCATAAAGCACAATGGTGAGGGGTGGGAGAAAGGGGAGGGGCTAAAGGGAAGGGGCGGGGCTGAAATGAAAGGGGCGGAGCCATAGGGCACAATGAGGAGGGATGGGAAAAGGGGTGGAGCACAGTGGGGTGGGCACAGTGGGGCTCTATGGGGCCCAGTGGGGCTCTATGGGGAGCAATGTGGCTCTCTGGGACACAGTGGGGCTGTATGGGGTGGGCTCAGTGGGTCTCTATGGGGCAGGCTCTATGGGGCACAGTGGGTCTCTATGGGGCAGGCTCTATGGGGCACAGTGGGTCTCTCTGGGCTGCAGTGGGGCTCTATGGGGCACAGTGGGGCACAGTGGATCTTTATGGGTTTCTGTCTATGGGGCAGTGTGTTTCTGTGTCTCTCTGGGGCGCAGTGGGTCTCTCTGGGTCTCTGGGGGGTGCTATGGGGCACAGTGGGGCTGTAGGGAGTGCTATGAGTGTGGGGCACAGTGGGGCTCTATGGGGCAGGATATATGGGGCGCAGTGGGTCTCTCTGGGGAGCAGTGGGTCTTTCTGGGTCTCTGTGGGTCTTTGGGGCACAGTGGGGCTCTATGGGGCACAGTGGGGTTCTCTGGGGCAGGCTCTATGGGGCGCAGTTGGGCTCTCTGGGGCAGGCTCTCTGGGGTGCAGTGGGGCTCTATGGGGCAGGCTCTATGGGGCACAGTGGGGCTCTATGGGGCAGGCTCTCTGATGCACAGTGGGGCTCTCTGGGGTGCAGTGGGGCTCTCTGGAGCACAGTGGGGCTCTGTGGGGCACAGTGGGGCTCTATGGGGCAGGCTCCATGGGGCACAGTGGGGCTCTATGGGGCGCAGTGGGGCTCAATGGGGCTCCGTGGGGCTGTCTGAGGCAGGCTCTCTGGGGCTCTCTGGGGCGCAGTGGGGCTCTGTGGGGCACAGTGGGGCTCTATGGGGCAGGCTCTCTGGGGCACAGTGGCGCTCTCTGGGGCAGGCTCTCTGGAGCACAGTGGGGCTCTGTGGGGCACAGTGGGGCTCTATGGGGCAGTCTCCATGGGGCACAGTGGGGCTCCCTGGGGCGCAGTGGAGCTCTGTGGGGCACAGTGGGGCTCTATGGGGCAGGCTCCATGGGGCACAGTGGGGCTCTATGGGGTGCAGTGGGGCTCTATGGGGCTCTGTGGGGCTCTCTGGAGCATGCTCTATGGGGCACAGTGGGGCTCTCTGGGGCAGGCTCTCTGGAGCACAGTGGGGCTCTCTGGGGCGCAGTGGGGCTCTCTGGAGCACAGTGGGGCTCTATGGGGCAGGCTCTCTGGGGCGCAGTGGGGCTCTCTGGAGCGCAGTGGGGCTCTATGGGGCAGGCTCCATGGGGCACAGTGGGGCTGTCTGAGGCAGGCTCTCTGTGGCTCTATGGGGCTCTGTGGGGCGCAGTGGGGCTCTATGGGGCACAGTGGGGCGCTGTGTGAGGCTGTGGGTGCCGCAGGCACGGCGTGGATTACCTGACGGGCTCGTGGTGGCCGGTGCTGGAGGACCTGTAGGGCTCCAACATCCCCGGGCCCTATGGGGCAGGCTCTATGGGGCACAGTGGGGCTCTATGGGGCTCTATGGGGCGCAGTGGGGCGCTGTGTGAGGCTGTGGGTGCCGCAGGCACGGCGTGGATTACCTGACGGGCTCGTGGTGGCCGGTGCTGGAGGACCTGTAGGGCTCCAACATCCCCGGGCCCTATGGGGCAGGCTCTATGGGGCTCTATGGGGCGCAGTGGGGCGCTGTGTGAGGCTGTGGGTGCCGCAGGCACGGCGTGGATTACCTGACGGGCTCGTGGTGGCCGGTGCTGGAGGACCTGTACGGCTCCAACATCCCCGTGTACCGCTTCGTCCAGCGCCCCGGGGACCTGGTGTGGATCAACGCCGGCACCGTGCACTGGGTGCAGGCCACGGGGTGGTGCAACAACATCGCCTGGAACGTGGGGCCGCTGACAGGTACCGGGGATAGGGGGGGGGCTGTGGGGTGAAGTGTGGGGTGTGGGGTATGGGGTACATGGGGTGTGGAGTACATGGGGTGTGGGGTGTGGGGTATGGGGTACATGGGGGGTGTGGGGTATGGGGTACATGGGGTGTGTGGGGTATGGGGTACATGGGGTGTGGGGTATGGGGTACATGGGGTGTGGGGTGTGGGGTACATGGGGTATGGGGTACATGGGGTATGGGGTACATGAGGTATGGGGTGTGGGGTATGGGGTACAGGGGGGGTGTGGGGTATGGGGTACATGGAGGGTGGGGGGTATGGGGTACATGGGGTATGGGGTGAAGTATGGGATATGGAGTACATGGGGTATGGGGTACATGAGGTATGGGGTGTGGGGTATGGGGTACATGGGGGGTGTGGGGTATGGGGTACATGGAGGGTGGGGGGTATGGGGTACATGGGGTATGGGGTGTGGGGTACATGGGGTATGGGGTACATGGGGTATGGGGTGTGGGTTGTGAGGTATGGGGTACATGGGGTATGGGGTGTGGGGTGTGAGGTATGGGGTACATGGGGTATGGGGTGTGGGGTACATGGAGGGTGGGGGGTATGGGGTGTGAGGTATGGGGTACATGAGGTATGGGGTGTGGGGTATGGGGTATATGGGGGGTGTGGGGTATGGGGTATATGGGGTATGGGGTACATGGGGGGTGTGGCGTATGGGGTATATGGGGTATAGGGTACATGGAGGGTGTGGGGTATGGGGTACATGGGGTATGGGGTGTGGGGTGTGAGGTATGGGGTACATGGGGTATGGGATATGAGGTGTGGGGTATGGGGTACATGGGTTACGGGGTGTGAGGTATGGGGTACATGGTGAGTGTGGGCTATGGGGTGTGGGCTATGAGGAATAGGGTACATGGGGTACAGGTATGGGATATGGGGTATGGGGCATGGGGTATGAGGTATGGGGTACATGGGGTATGTGGTGTGGGATATGGGGTGTGGGGTATGAGGAATAGGGTACGTGGGGTACACATATGGGATATGGGGTATGAGATGTGGGGTGTGGGATGTGGGGTATGGGGTGTATGGGGTGTGGGTCGGGGGATGTGTTCCCAGTGCCCCCCTGCCCCCAGCCTACCAGTACCAGCTGGCGCTGGAGCGCTACGAGTGGAACGAGGTGAAGAACGTGAAGTCCATCGTGCCCATGATCCACGTGTCCTGGAACGTGGCGCGCACCGTGAAGATCAGCGACCCCGACCTCTACAGCATGATCAAGTGAGGGGGGGAACAGTGGGGGAACAGCGGGGGAACAGTGGGGTAACAATGGGGTAACAGCGGGGTAACAATGGGGTAACAGCGGGGTAACAGCGGGGTAACAGCGGGGTAACAGCGGGGTAACAATGGGGTAACAGCGGGGTAACAATGGGGTAACAATGGGGTAACAGCGGGGTAACAGCGGGGTAACAATGGGGTAACAGCGGGGTAACAATGGGGTAACAATGGGGTAACAGCGGGGTAACAATGGGGTAACAGCGGGGTAACAGCGGGGTAACAATGGGGTAACAATGGGGTAACAGCGGGGTAACAGCGGGGTAACAATGGGGTAACAGCGGGGTAACAATGGGGTAACAGCAGGGTAACAGCGGGGTAACAATGGGGTAACAGCGGGGTAACAGCGGGGTAACAGCAGGGTAACAATGGGGTAACAGCGGGATAGCACTGGGGTAACAGAGGGGTAACAATGGGGTAACAGCGAGGTAACAATGGGGTAACAACAGGGTAACAGTGAGGTAACAATGGGGTAAGAGCGGGGTAACAGCAGGGTAACAGCGGGGTAACAATGGGGTAACAATGGGATAACACTGGGGTAACAATGGGGTAACAGCAGGTAACAATGGGGTAACAACGGGATAGCACCAGGGTAACAATGGGATAACAACGGGATAGCACTGGGGTAACAACGGGATAACAACAGGGTAACAACGGGATAACAACAGGGTAACAACGGGATAACAACAGGGTAACACTGGGGTAACAAAGGGGTAGCACTGAGGTAATACCGGGATAACACCGGGGTAACACCGGGGTAACAACAGGGTAACACTGGGGTAACAATGGGATAACAAAGGGGTAACAACGGGATAGCACTGGGGTAACAATGGGGTAACAATGGGGTAACCACAGGGTAACAATGGGGTAACAATAGGATAGCACTGGGGTAACAACGGGATTACAAAGGGGTAACAACGGGATAGCACTGGGGTAACACAGGGACACCCACACAGACACAGAGAGACACAGGGACAGGGGTGGGGACACCTTGAGTATGGGGACATGGTGGGGATGGAGACACCGGGTGACACTGGGTGACACTGGGTGCCAATGGGTGAGACAGGGTGACATTGGGTGCCAGTGGGTGCTGCAGGTACTGCCTGTTGCAGTCCATCAGGCACTGTAGGGTGACACTGGGTGACACTGGGTGCCAATGGGTGTTGCAGGTACTGCCTGTTGCAGTCCATCAGACACTGTAGGGTGACACTGGGTGCCAATGGGTGTTGCAGGTACTGCCTGTTGCAGTCCATCAGACACTGTAGGGTGACACTGGGTGCCAATGGGTGTTGCAGGTACTGCCTGTTGCAGTCCATGAAGCACTGTAGGGTGACACTGGGTGCCAATGGGTGTTGCAGGTACTGCCTGTTGCAGTCCGTCAGGCACTGTAGGGTGACATTGGGTGACACTGGGTGCCAATGGGTGTTGCACGTACTTCCTGTTGCAGTCCATCAGGCACTGTAGGGTGACACTGGGTGCCAATGGGTGTTGCAGGTACTGCCTGTTGCAGTCCATCAGGCACTGTAGGGTGACACTGGGTGCCAATGGGTGTTGCAGGTACTGCCTGTTGCAGTCCATCAGGCACTGTAGGGTGACACTGGGTGCCAATGGGTGTTGCAGGTACTGCCTGTTGCAGTCCATCAGGCACTGTAGGGTGACACTGGGTGCCAATGGGTGTTGCAGGTACTGCCTGTTGCAGTCCATCAGGCACTGTAGGGTGACACTGGGTGCCAATGGGTGTTGCAGGTACTGCCTGTTGCAGTCCATCAGGCACTGTAGGGTGACACTGGGTGCCAATGGGTGTTGCAGGTACTGCCTGTTGCAGTCCATCAGGCACTGTAGGGTGACACTGGGTGCCAATGGGTGTTGCAGGTACTGCCTGTTGCAGTCCATCAGGCACTGTAGGGTGACACTGGGTGCCAATGGGTGTTGCAGGTACTGCCTGTTGCAGTCCATCAGGCACTGTAGGGTGACACTGGGTGCCAATGGGTGTTGCAGGTACTGCCTGTTGCAGTCCATCAGGCACTGTAGGGTGACACTGGGTGCCAATGGGTGTTGCAGGTACTGCCTGTTGCAGTCCATCAGGCACTGTAGGGTGACACTGGGTGCCAATGGGTGTTGCAGGTACTGCCTGTTGCAGTCCATCAAGCACTGTCAGGTGCAGCGGGAGAGCCTGGTGCGAGCAGGGAAGAAGATCACCTTCCAGGCGCGGGTGAAGGATGAGCCAGCCTATTACTGCAACGAGTGCGACGTGAGTGGGGCTGGAGGTGGGGCTGGGCCGTCCCCCCCTCGTTGTCCCCATGGTGCAACACTCCTGGCCCCTTCTTGCCCCCATGGTGTCCTCTCATTGTCCCCATGGTGTGATGCTGTTGACCCCACATTGTGATGCTGTTGTCTACCCATTGTCTCCGTGGGGACCCCATGTTGTGACGCTGTTGTCCCCCGTGTGTGATGCTGGTGGCCTCTCGCTGTCCCACTGCTAACCCCCGGTGTGATGCTGTTGTCCACTCATTGTGTCCATGGTGACACCCCCCCCCCGTTGTGACACTGTTATCCCAGTGCTGTCCCCTTGTTGTGAGGCTGTTGTCCACACTGTTAACCCTGTTGTGACACTGTTGTCCCCACAGTCCCTACTGTTGCCCCCTTTGTTGTGATGCTCTTGACCCCCGTTGTGATGCTGTTGTCCCTGTTGTGACATTGCCCCGTTGTGATGGTGTTGCCCCCATTGTGACATTATTCCCGTTGTGATGCTGTTGTCCCAGTGTTGCCCCCATTATGACACTCTTCTTGTCCCCGTCATGACACTGTTGTCCCATTGTTCCCCTTTTGTGATGCTGTTGTCCCCTTGTTGTCCCCCCATTGTGAGCCTGTTGTCCCGCTGTTGTCCCCCTGTTGTGACGCTGTTGTCCCCGTTGTGATGCGGTTGTCCTGGCGTTGTCCCCCTGTTGTGACGCTGTTGTCCCCGTTGTGATGCGGTTGTCCTGGCGTTGTCCCCCTGTTGTGACGCTGTTGCCCCCTGTTGTGACACTGTTGTCCTGGTGTTGTCCCCCTGTTGTGACGCTGTTGTCCCGGCGGTGCCCCCCCCCCCCCCCCCCCCGTGACCCCGCTGTCCCGTTGTTGTCCCCCTGTTGTCCCGTTGTGACGCTGTTGTCCCCCTGTTGTGACGCTGTTGTCCCGGTGGTGCCCCCCGTTGTGACGCTGTTGTCCCATTGTTGTCCCCCTGTTGTGATGCTGTTGTCCCATTGTTGTCCCCCTGTTATGACGCTGTTGTCCCATTGTTGTCCCCCTGTTGTGATGCTGTTGTCCCGTTGTTGTCCCCCTGTTATGACGCTGTTGTCCCATTGTTGTCCCCCTGTTATGACGCTGTTGTCCCGTTGTTGTCCCCCCCGTTGTGACGCTGCTGCCCCCGGCCCCACAGGTGGAGGTGTTCAACATCCTGTTTGTGACCAGCGAGACGGGCGGGCGCAACACGTACCTGGTGCACTGCGAGGGCTGCGCGCGGCGCCGCAGCGGGGCCCTGCATGGGGTCGTGGTGCTCGAGCAGTACAAGACCGAGGAGCTCATGAACATCTACGACAGCTTCACCCTGGTGAGCCCCCCGTGGGGCCGGCCCCATAGGGACAGCGCCATAGGGACAGCTCCATAGGGAGAGCGCCATAGGGACAGCCCCATAGGGACAGCGCCATGGGGATAGCACTATGGGGATAGCACTATGGGGACAGCCCCATAGGGACAGCACTATGAGGACAGCCTTATAGGGACAGCACTATGGGGATAGCACTGTGGGGACAGCCCTATGAAGAGAGCCCCATAGGGACAGCACTATGGGGATAGCACTGTGGGGACAGCCCTATGAAGAGAGCCCCATAGGGACAGCACTATGGGGATAGCACTGTGGGGACAGCCCTATGAAGAGAGCCCCATAGGGACAGCACTATGGGGATAGCACTGTGGGGACAGCCCTATGAAGACAGCCCCATAGGGACAGCACTATGGGGACAGCCCAATGGAGGCAGCCCCATAGAGACAGCCCCATAGGGACAGCGCCATAGGGACAGCACTATGAGGACAGCCCTATAAAGACAGCCCCATAGGGACAGCACTATGGGGACAGCCCCATAGGGACAGCTCCACAGGGACAGCACTATGGGGATAGCACTATGGGGACAGCCCTATGAAGACAGCCCCATAGAGACGGCCCCATAGGGACAGCACTATGGGGATAGTGCTATGGGGAGAGCCCTATGAAGAAAGCCCCATAGGGACAGCTCCATAGGGACAGCACTATGGGGATAGCACTATGGGGACAGCCCCATAGAGACAGCAGTATGGCATCAGCCCTATAGAGACAGCACTATGGGGACAGCCCTACAGGGACACCACTATGGGCACAACCCTATAGAGACACCGCTATGGGGACGACCCTATAGAGACACCGGTATGGGCACAGCACTATGGGGCCAGACCTATAGAGACATCGCTATGGGGATAGCACTAAGGGGACAGCCCTATAGAGACAGCACTATGGGAACACCACTACGGGAACAGCACCATGGGGCCAGTCCCATAGAGACAGCCCCATAGAGACACCGCTATGGGGACACCCCTATAGGGACAGCCCCATAGAGACACAGCTATGGGGACACCCCTATAGGGACAGCCCCATAGAGACACCGCTATGGGGACACCCCTATAGGGACAACCCCATAGAGACACTGCTATGGGGACACCCCTATAGGGACAACCCCATAGAGACAGCCCTATGGGGACACCCCTATAGGGACAGCCCCATAGAGACAGCCCTATGGGGACACCACTATAGGTAAACCCCCCGGTCCCCATGGGCTTGGGTTGACCCACATAGGGGGTTATGGGGGGGAGCATGTGGCCCCTCCCCCTTTACCCCCCTAACCCCTCCCCCCACCCATTGCAGGTGCCATCACCCAGCTCCAGATGAGCCCCGCCCCCCCCATCGGGGGGGTCACGTGATGATGATGATGATGGGGGGGGGGGCGTCCCGTGCCCCTCCCCCCCAACCCCTCCCCCCAATGAACATTGTTATTTATTCCCGGTGATATTGCCCCTCCCCCACCCCTCCACCCCCCACCCCATGTGGGGGGGGAGGGGCTCGGATGTGGGGGGGGGGGAGGGGGGGTTGGGGGGCCCCTCCCCCCCCCCCAGTTTTATACACAAATCCCCATTTATAGCAATTTTTTAAGCCCCACCCCCCCCGGCTGCCCCTCCCCCCACTGTGGGGGATGGGGGGGGCCCCTCTGCTCCTCCCCCACTCTTGGGTGCCCCCCCCCCCATTACAATGGGGGTCAGTGGAGAGGGGGGAGGGGCGGCCCTTTGCCAAGACACAACCAAAAACACGCCCCTCCCCCACCGCCGCCCCTCCCCCACCCCCATCCGGGTCCTTTTTGGGGGGGCCCTGCCCCACCCCCCCCCGGGCTATGGGGGATGGGGGGAAAGGGGGGGGGGCTCAGGTCTCAATGGGGGGAGGGGGGGACCCCCAAACCATGGTGCAAAAGGGGGGGGGAGGGGGGATCTGTGCCCCTCCCCCCCCCCGCCCCTCCCCCCCCACCCCCTCCCGAGGGTTTTTTTGGGGTTTTTTGTAAATGATTTTGGGTTTTTTTGCCTCTTTTTTAATTTATACGCGGGGGGGGGGAGGGGGGGGGGCGCGTTATTTATTGGGGAGGGGCGCGCGGGGAGGGGGGGAGGGGTCACTGTGACCCCACGTGACCCCTACGGGGGGAGGGGGGGAGGGGTTGTATGGCCCCACCCCCCCCCCCCACCTCTTCCCCTCCCCCCTCATGGTGCTGGGCCCCTCCCCCACCTACCCCCTCCCTTATGGCCCCACCCCCACCCCCCATATCTGGTGGTTGGGGGGGGGGGTGGGGGAGGGGTCGGAACTGCCCCTCCCCCCTCCCCCCCTCCGCCCTATCCCCTCCCCCCCCGCGGCCACAGAAGCTATTTTGTACCTGAGATTAAATTAATGGCAAGGCCCGAATGGCTCCGGTGGGGGGAGGGGAGGGGGGGAAAATGGGGGGGGATTAAAGGGGGGGGTCCCCATCACAGTGGGGGGGGGAGCAGAGATGGGGGGCATAGGGGTGAATAATGGGGAGCAATGGGGCGGATTAAAGGGGGGGGTCCCTATCACAGTGAGGGGGGGATCAAAGGGGGGGGGTCGCCATTACACAGTGTGGGGGGGTTAAAGGGGGGGTCACAGGGGGGGTCCCATCACAGTGGGGGGGGATCAAAGGGGGGGGTCCCCATCACAGTGGGGGGGGTTAAAGGGGGGGGTCCCCATTACACAGTGTGGGGGGGTTAAATGGGGGGTCACAGGGGGGGTCCCATCACAGTGGGGGGGGATCAAAGGGGGGGGTCCCCATTACACAGTGGGGGGGGATAAAGTGGGGGTCACGGGGGGGTCCCTATTACACAGTGGGGGGGGGTTAAAAGGGGGGTCCCCATCACACAGTGGGGGGGGATAAAGGGGGGGGTCCCCATCACAGTGGGGGGGGGTTAAAGGGGGGGTCACGGGGGGGTTCCCATCACAGTGGGAGGGGTTAAAGTGGGGATGCCCCATTACACAGTGGGGGGGGGAATAAAGTGGGGGTCACGGGGGGGGTCCCCATTACACAGTGGGGGGGGCGTTAAAGGGGGGGTCCCCATCACACAGTGGGGGGGGTTAAAGGGGAGGGTCCCCATCACAGTGGGGGGGCGATCAAAGGGGGGGGGTCCCCATTACACAGTGGGGGGGGGGGGAATAAAGTGGGGGCCATGGGGGGGGGGATCCCCATCACAGTGGGGGGTGGTTAAGGGGGGGTTCCCATCACAGTGGGGGGGGATTAAAGGGGGGGTATGGGGGCGGGGCCATGACGAGAGGCGGGGGGTGTGGGGGCGGGGCCATGACGGGGGGCGGGGCCATGACGAGAGGCGGGGGGAGGGGCGTTTCTGTGTCTCGCACACGTTTAATGGGGGGCGTCGTGGGGGGGCAGGGGGGGGCTCCCGTCGCGCTCCACCTCGATGGACACGATGTGGTGCCCGGGCACCATGGCCAGGCCCAGCACCCGCGGCTCCGAGCCGGGGAACGCGTCTGGGGGGGGAGATA